GTGACCACGGTCCTCCAGGTGCCACTGCAGCAACCTGCATGAAGCTTGGCTAAAATGCATCTTTCCCCTCAAAACTGGGGTTCCCTAGCACTGGCCTAAACCACAGCTTTAACCCAGAGCTACAGACCTGTCCTGTGAAAGGTTGTCTCTCCCCGATGAGGTGCACCAGATCTTCCGTTTCCCTGTTTTTCCCATGGGAGAGCCCCCTGACTGCAGAAATACCTCAATGCTCAAAACCGTCTTGGGGAACACTAAAACAAAACCAAACCTAAATGCAGGAGATGTCTCCTGAGAAATGCTGTGACGCAAGTTGTAATCATGCTGCTGCGCTATCAGACGTGAGAGTAAACAGCAAGAGCAAGAGCACTCCTGTGGTGCAGCAGTTGTTGGCCGCCCTACAAGGCTTGATGGCAACCCAGCCATCCTGGTCCCCCGAGGCTGCCGTGGGGAATGATGTGGGTGATGCTGCAAGGGCTTGGAGATGCTCTTGTTCCCCTGGCAGCCACCTCCATGTGCTGCAGGTCACTGCAGGTGGAGGTGGATCACCCTTACCTGGTGGTGATGACGAGGGTACGAAGCCCCTGTGATGCCCGAACTGAACCCCCACCCTCAAGGAACCTCGTTTATTCTTTGAGAAATGAGGCAATCGTGACAATGCATAATCTAGACCACTTCTAGACCTGTGCAACACAATTATTGCTGCCAAGGATCCCGCTTAATGGCTCACTAATACGTGAGGTCCAACAGATCTTGGAGCAAATTAAATGTAATTAGCCGGGAAGTTAGAAAATGGGAGAAAGGAGAAGAAAAGAAAAATAGGACCCTACCACATGGCTCCTCTTAGCTTTCGCCTTGCCCCCCCCAAATGTTTCCAAAACAGCAGGAGCACGACTTGGCTGTAAATCTACATTATGTAATAACAATTTCTTTGTTTTCTCTCACTTTAAGGTTTAGCAACAGCGAAGGGAGAAAAAAAAAAAACCAACAACAAAAAAACCCAACAAACCACCACCTCATAGATAGAAACCTAGAGGAGGGGGAGGGGAGGGAACATGATTAAGAGGATGCTGAATCCCTTTGAGCTATTAATGGGGAATTGCATAACCGCTGCCGCGGGGTTGCTAGGTTTTACCACGTCCCTGCGCCGTGTTAAATATTAACAGCACTTGTACTTTCGGCAGCATCGCTGCTGCCACGGAGCCTGGATACGGCCCCGCCAATCCCTGCCTCTGGGCTGGGTTTCCATGGAGCCAGCAGCACCCCCTTCTCCTCATTCACCAACCAAACCCCCCCCCCCACAGCTCTTTGGATAAATCCGTCTCCCCAAACGAGGCGTGCACAAACGAAGCGGAGAGGGTTTTTGGGCCATGGATGCGAGTGGGGGAGTGTGCTGGCTTCCTCTTTAAAAAAAAAAAAAAATAAAATTAGCAAGGTTTAGAAATGACGCCTGTTTTGTCTCGCCTGGCAGATCTTCATGGTGCTTTTAACCCTCATGTCCCCAGCTCTGCAAGAGCTACCCGTGCGGCTGGATTCCTCCCAGAACTTCAGGGGGGCTCATAGGAAAGGTCACAGAATCATATGGGGTTGGAAATGTCCTCTGGAGACCATCTAGTCCAACCCCCCCTCGCCAGAGCAGGTCCACCTAGAACCGGTAAGATGGGGACAAACGTTTTAGCAGGGCCTGTTGCAATAGGATGAGGGGTAACCATTTTAAACTGAAAGAGGGTAGATTTTGGCTAGGCATAAGGAAGACATTTTTGACACTGAGGGTGGTGAGACACTGGCCCAGGTTGCCCAGAGAAGCTGTGGAAGCCCCATCCCTGGAAACATTCAAGGTCAGGTTGGATGGGGCTCTGAGCAACCTGATCTAGTTGAAGATGTCCCTGCTCATTGCGGGGGACCTGGACTTGATGATCTTTAAAGGTCCCTTCCAACCCAAACCATTCTGATTCTACAATTCTGCAATTCTCCCCCAATCCCTCCTCCTCATCTACCTTCCTTCTGTGTCTTGGCTTAAATTAGACTGTAAGATCTGCATTAGATATGCAAAAAAATAGATAAAATATCTCCTATACTGTGGGTTTGCCTTCTTTTCCCCCAGTAACATAGCTCTCATCAAAACCTTTCAGATTTACATTTAAAGCACTTTAATGGAGTTAATGGTGCAGATTTTCAACACATTGGCTTCGTGGGACCAGTTTACCTCCGTGCTGGGACCAGTTTTCGTCCGCGCTGGATGCTGAGAGGCTTTGCTTGCTGCTCTTCGGAGAAGGGCAGCACTAGATGCTAGAGATCTGCATATTCAATATGCATGTGAGCTCAAACAGCTTTTTGTTATGTCTCTAATTAGGCTAAGTAGGGTGTTGGATTCAAGTGCTAATTAGAAATGACCACTCTAAAATACATTAGGATATTTAGGGCTGTGTGCTGTTTGCATATTCAGGCTCCAGCTCCTGCTGACGGGTTTGTGTGAGTAACGAGATGAGTCCATCCACCTAATCCCTTTTAACCTGTGACATTATATATTTTATTTCTTCTTTTTTTTTTTTTTTTTTGACCGATGCACTACATCTAAGAAAATGGATTTCTAGTGACAGGAATAAGCACGCACAGAGCATGGTGTTACCCCGGGGAAAAGGGGGAAGGGAGTGTTTGGCAGCGAGAGGCAGGGGCTGGTCCAGCCCTCTGAAATAATGATGCCATTATCCCCTCTCTACCCAGCACTGAGGAAGGGGTCCCTGGGAGTACCCTGAGGGGGAGAATTTAGGCTCGTAGGGTCACAAGGTAATATGGGTTGAAAGGGGTTGTGCCCTGAGATGGGCCAGGGGAGATAGTCTCTGCTCTCCTCCTCTTCCCCTGGAGCCATCAAAAGGCAGGACGGAGACCAGCCCGTGATCTCCATAGACAAATTAAGTGCCTTGGTAGGAATAAATTAAACAAAAATATCTGCTCCAAGAGCTTGACTTGAGGGATGCTGAGGATGACACCTACAGATCAACTAAGGGGCTTGGGGAGCTCTTGGCACCCTCCAAGATGAAGCTACAAACAGGAGCGGAACACCTCAGGTCACTTGCGCAAACAGTGGCTGCTTTAAGCAGCCAATTAGTGGAAACAATAACAATCTCTGCTTCCTAAATCTACCCTGCAGGGTATAAACAGGGACAAGGCAGTGCCCTCATGGTTATGGCTTGGTCAGTGCCCATAGGGTGTGTGGTCCAGGGGCTCTCTCTTCGGAAGGGTTGTAAGAGGGCTGCAAACAGGGTCCTGCCCACTGGATGCTGACTGACTCCTCTGGAGCTTGTCCAGATCACCCCCATCAAGTCATCCCATCAAACTTCGTCCCCAAGGGGCCTGGCCACGATGCTGGAGTTGGGCTGCCCTCGTTATAATCTGGGTTATTTAAGGCAAATGCCCCGCATGACCTGCGATGCCCAGCACCAGGAGGCAAAGCACCCCTTGCTCCCCTCTGCCCATGGGGGAGCTGAGGAAAGCCATTTTCAATGCCACGTTAATTAACGTGACGCTAAGCTCCACGCTCTCCTTATTCTGGGCAAGGACTGTTGGGATTCGGAATGTGTTAATTATTACACGTGCTCCGTGCCAGACCCGTCTGGGATTAAAACTGGAGCATTCACACGTGTGACCGTCCTCAAAGATCACCCGGACCCCATTTCAGCTCTGCAGGGGTGACACATCCCTGTACCCACAACTGAGGACCAGCACCATGTCCCCACAGCCCGGCCGGGGTCACCATCCCTTCCACCAGTGGACGTGTCACCCCTGGGTATCTGCAGCCCCCTTAAATCCAACAGGAGCCGTGTTATGGCTTTAATATCTGAATGAAGATGTCAAAATTGGGGATGGGGAGGAACAGGGAGGGCACAGAGCGCCTGGGGAGAGGTGTAGGGCAGGATGCAGCCCGTGTCGGTGCCGTCCTCCCCTGCTCAATGAGCTTTTCCATGGAGACCCATGTGTGCAAACAAACACATGCCAGCTCAGCACTTTTGGAAGCTGCTGAGAGACTCTTTTCAAGCACAGAGCTCAGCACACACTGTCTTTTTCTTTCTTTTTTTTTTTTTTCCTTTTTTTTTACCTGACCCTTGGGAATAATTAAACTTCCCCGCGCGGGCAGGAGGGCTGGGCTGGCTGCCTGCGTGTCCCTGCTGTGTCTGCCTCTTGCACACCCCTGGTGCTGCTCAGGAACTTGGCTACGTGGAAAAAGAGCCATGAAAAATACAGCCCCACTCATCAGCTTGTGGCTGAGAGAGGGGGGCCAAAACCAGGCACCCCCCCTCCTGCAAAGGCAGCAGCCCAGTCTGACCCCATCCTGCCCCGTGCCAGGAATGCTCAGCCCGTGTTTGCCTCTGTCTGTCACCCCTCTGCTGGGCAAAGAGCCTTTCTGGGGTTTAATCACCTTGTTCTCCACACGGGTCTCATGGTGAGGATGCAAACAATCTTGCTCAGGTGTTTAATGATGCCTTAATAAACATCCCAGCTACAGCTACTCCCTCTCCACACTGATCACTCTCAGCTTGGTCTAATTACCACGTTACAACATTAAGAGCTTTCACCAAAAATTCATAAACCCTTGGGAAATGCTGGCTTGAGTGAAGCCAAGATCAAAACACAAACAGAAATGCAGAATGATAAGGGGTTGGAAGGGACCTCTGGAGATCATCTAGTTCAACCCCCTGCCAGAGCAGGTCCACCCAGAGCAGGTCCCACAGGAATGTGTCCAGGTGGGTTTGAATGTCTCCAGAGAAGGAGACCCCACCACCTCTCTGGGCAGCCTCTTCCAGGGCTCTGCCACCCTCAAAGTGAAGAAGTTTCTCCTTGTGTTTAGGTGGAACTTCCTATGTTGAAGTTGGTGCCTGCTACCACTTGTCCGGTCGCTGAGCACCACTGAAAAAAGACTTGCTCCTTCCCCCTGACACCCACCCTTTATGTGTTTATAAGCGTAAATATGCTTATAAAAAACCAAACAACAGTCTGTGCCTTACCCAAAGCAAAGGAGTTATTGTAAAGCTGCTGTAAACCCAAGCTGGTCTAGGTCCAACATTGGCCTGGCTCTGGTTCAGATCCATTTCTGAAGTCAAACCGACGAACCTCCCACGCTCCAGTACCTTTACAGGGGATAAACACGGACACATCCACGGCTTAACAGAACCGTAATTTCTGCCCGAATGCTTTATTATTTGAAAATCGTAAATAAGACGAAGTGAAAAGGACAAGCCCCTTTAATCTGTGAGTGGTGTGCTAAACGACGGCGGTAAATCTCTGCTGGCTCCATGGCAGGTCCAGCTGATTTGCACTCCCCGAAATGGCAGTGATTTTTATCCCACAAACCACACTGAAGGTGTGGAGATCAGTTTTTTTGGGAAAAAAAAAACAAAAACCAAACAAAAACAAATCCCTTCTTTTCTCTTGACCAGGCTTGGATGGGAGTAGCTGGGGAGGCATTGCAAAAGGACTGGGAGTTATTTTGCCTTTCCCATGGAGGAAATGCCCACCCTGCGCCGGCCGTGAACTTTGTCGGGCTGCCTTCTTATCTCCTCCTCTGCTTTTCTTATCACTCCTCATCTATTTATTGCTCTGCTTTGCAGGCTTTTCTAGCCCGCTAGACAAGGCCGTCTCAAGGCCGGCCTGTTCGGGTGTCTTTGAAAAAGTCCCCACCCCCAGCAGGGTGGAGGCCATCTGTGCCACCACCACCCCTCCAGCCCAGGAGGCCAGTTTTGGTGAGTTTTATGAGCAATCTTGAGACCCACATGTCTAGGGGAGATGTTCACAGTGCTGCTGGAGGGCAGGCATTGCTTGAAACCATCTACCACATGTGTGTCTAACCAAAGGGTGGTCTGCAGGCTGATGGATGCCCTCGTTGGTGGTGGGGCTCTTTCTTTCAATCTGGATTGCAACCATGGTCAGGATGGAAAAAAACAATCAATAAATGCATACAGGCTCAAGCAAAAATATCCTTTCTCTTTTGGGCCTGAATATTTACCATTGGTGGAGGGCGGACCTTGCCTTTTAGTGTGTTTTATTTGCCAAGCACCTTGGGGCAGTTTTACAGGAAAGGTGCTATATTGAATTTTCTCATGATGTTGCATTATTTTGCACAAACTGCAAATTGCTGTTGATCTGCACGTCTCTGATGTGCACATATATTCAAAGTTTAATTCGTACACAGCCTGCGCCCCCCTCCCCACCCCGAGCTCCAGTGCTGGGGAAAGCTGGGGGACTCTCTGGGAACTGTCAGTCAAAAAACCTTCTGAAAAGGGTTTTTTCCCCTCTGTCCACCTCTTAATGGCTCTCACTGAAATGTCTGAGCTGAGGAAAACTCCACCCCTGCAGCTTCTACTTGGAAAGAGCAGAAAAATCCAACTAATCTTCTTTAAAAAAAAAAAAAAAAAAGGAATTCATGTTATTCATAAAGAATTTCTGTCCTCTTTTCAGTCCCAGCGGAGTGTTCTGTAAGGCAATCAATGAGTAATAACCAAGAAAAGACTTTTAAAAAAAAAGTCTCTCATTGCTGTCATATTTACCACATTGTGCATTCCAACCTTGAATCGGGAGACCTGAGAAGCTGAGGAAAAAGAAAAGAATGAAAAAAAAAACCTAATTCTGATGAAGATCCTTATGCACCCACCTTCAGGCATGTTCCATGCGGGTAGGGGAGTAGCATGGGGACCATCAAAACTGTGGGGACACCATGGAGGTGTCCTTCCCCATGGGACCCAACGGGCAGCACATCAGCATAAAGAATAAGAGACTCTTTAAAGAACTGTGAGAAGTTTAATGGAAATAATAAATCTGGATTCTTCCTTATTCCTTGTGAGGTTTTTTTTTCTGTGAATGTGAGGGCTGAAGAAGCCTTTTTGAGTGAGACTGATGTTTTGTCAGAAAAATGTTCTGGTCTCCTGAGAGAGAGAGAAAATATTCGGCAAAGTGCACATGGTGGCAGATCTCCTGCCCTGAGCTGCTGGGGTTGCAGACATGTCTGGGCTCAGAAAAAAAAGGGCTGGGAGAAAGAAAACCTGAAAGACAGACTTTTTGAGGTGACCAAGATGCACAGTCCTCCTTTGCAGAGCTGAAAACACAGGTGGCCCACTCACCCCAGGGGTGACAGTATTTCTAAATATTTTCCAAAGCTTTAGAAAACTCAGACTCAGCTGAATTTTGCTCCCAAATTTGGGGTTTTCTGTTTTCAGCCAAAATTTGTAAAAACCATCTCATGCTCTTGGATGGGACTGTTGGCTCAGAGATTTATTTCCAGTCCATTGCTGGCCAATAAGGGTGACAAACTGAGTGTGTTTGGACGGGGGGAAATCCCACTTTGTGGCTATTGAGGGCCAGAGTTGGGGTCCAGCTTCCAATCGCCCAGAAGCAATATTTGCAGCTGTGTGTACACGACATTATTTCCTGGGTACCTGGCTTGTAGGTACAATTAGGGGCTTGTAAATCTGAGGAAATCTTAAATTAAGGTACCAAAATACGCCTGCAAACATTTGTGCCTGCCATTTTTCAACTGTAATAGTGGAAGTCCTGTTAAAGTGAGGATGAAAAATTGGTCCTGTGTCAATAACCTGTATGAACGATGCTAGAAAAAACTGGCAAGTCATCAAAAGACCCTGTTCTCTATTTAATTCTCTTCCCAGCTCATTATGGATTATCACGTTTTGTCTAGTTAGTGGCATGATTATGGAAATAGAAAAACCATTTCTCTCTGCTTCTTATCTAAAATATGAATGAGGCACATATAATTGGCTTAAGTTATCATTTAGGAGTGAGCTATGGTGATGCAGGTTGGGGTTGTGTTTTTTTTTTTTATATCCTCAACTTGGAAGTCCTGAGACACAGTAAACTGCTAGCGTCCTCCTCTGGTTGTTTTCTGTCCCCAACGCCCACAAGCTCAGCCAAAAGCAAGATGTCTGTGAAGGGCTGAAGTACTTTTTTCCAGAGAGATGGGTTGTAAATATCCCCACAGGCTGAGATGATCACCGGGGTGTAAATCACCACCAGTGCAAACAGCAGCTGAAGAGCACGCCCAGGGAGCCACATCCAGGCTCTCCTAGGACACAGACCTCATCCCACCACCCTTAACCCCCTGAGCTGTAGCCACACCTACGGTGGGTGTCATCCCAGAAATACCATACAAGCTCCAGGAAACCTGGACTCCCACCTCCCAGACCACGTTGGAGGAAGATGTGGGACTTTGAAACCAACACTTTTCTTTTTAATAATAAGAGAGAATAGAAATGGCAAAGGAAGGGGAGATAACATCCCCAGAGAGGGCTTTTTCTTTCCCCCAAATTAAGCTCTGAAGTGTTGGAGATGCTCTAAAACAAGCACTTTCCATCAGGATGCTGAGCCTGAATTCTGGCCCCGCTTCCAGCTGCATCAGCTCATGGAGACCACTCAATTTGCACATATTTGGGCCCACGATACCTCTGTTTTGAAGCCTAAAAGCAGGAGCCTAAAAGCATAGGCCGAAGAGTCCAGCAACCATGAAGATGGTGGGGTCATCTGTCCTCCTTGTGCTGTCAATGCATTTCCTCAGGCCTCAGAAGACACTGGCCAATGATGTTAATTGGAAACCATAAAACATTGGAAAAAGCCCCAGCAATTTTGAAAGGCAAAGGAAGGGGAGATAACATCCCCAGAGAGGGCTTTTTCTTTCCCCCAAATTAAGCTCTGAAGTGTTGGAGATGCTCTAAAACAAGCACTTTCCATCAGGATGCTGAGCCTGAATTCTGGCCCCGCTTCCAGCTGCATCAGCTCATGGAGACCACTCAATTTGCACATATTTGGGCCCACGATACCTCTGTTTTGAAGCCTAAAAGCATCGGCTGAAGAGTCCAGCAACCGTGAAGATGGTCATTGGTCCTCCTTGTGCTGTCAATGCATTTCCTCAGGCCTCAGAAGACACTGACCAATGATGTTAATTGGAAACCATAAAACATTGGAAAAAGCCCCAGCAATTTTGAAACGGGCCTTTTTTTTTTTTTCCCCCTCCTGACTTCTCTTACACTTTTACCCACAGAGAAAACAGTGTCTGAGAAAAAAAGGGGAAAGTGTATTAGTTCATCTTGACTTTCACAGTGGAAAAAAAAAAAGAGCACTGGGAAGGAAACTGGATGCTTTCCCTCTGGTTTACATTATTGGAGTAGGACACAGACCTCATCCCACCACCCTTAACCCCCTGAGCTGTAGCCACACCTACGGTGGGTGTCATCCCAGAAATACCATACAAGCTCCAGGAAACCTGGACTCCCACCTCCCAGACCACGTTGGAGGAAGATGTGGGACTTTGAAACCAACACTTTTCTTTTTAATAATAAGAGAGAATAGAAATGGCAAAGGAAGGGGAGATAACATCCCCAGAGAGGGCTTTTTCTTTCCCCCAAATTAAGCTCTTAAGTGTTGGAGATGCTCTAAAACAGGCACTTTCCATCAGGATGCTGAGCCTGAATTCTGGCCCCGCTTCCAGCTGCATCAGCTCATGGAGACCACTCAATTTGCACATATTTGGGCCCACGATACCTCTGTTTTGGAGCCTAAAAGCATAGGCCGAAGAGTCCAGCAACCATGAAGATGGTGGGGTCATCTGTCCTCCTTGTGCTGTCAATGCATTTCCTCAGGCCTCAGAAGACACTGGCCAATGATGTTAATTGGAAACCATAAAACATTGGAAAAAGCCCCAGCAATTTTGAAACGGGCCTTTTTTTTTTTTTCCCCCTCCTGACTTCTCTTACACTTTTACCCACAGAGAAAACAGTGTCTGAGAAAAAAAGGGGAAAGTGTATTAGTTCATCTTGACTTTCACAGTGGAAAAAAAAAAAGAGCACTGGGAAGGAAACTGGATGCTTTCCCTCTGGTTTATATTATTGGAGCCTAATCCTTCTCTAAGTATTTTGTTCAAAGCCTATTTTTAAGAACTCCAAAGCAATAATTCCAATTTTTTTTACATGCAAAGCGTCATTGGCAAACTTTTTTTTCGCAGCTTCCCTTGGCAGTCAGTCGGAGCAGCAGAATTTGATGGACCTTGACGATTCAGAGGACAAAGACGGCTTGAGAGGACATAAAACTGTCTGGGCAACAACTCTCTTGGCCCAAATTGCCTCTGTTGTGTTCCTCTGCTGCCTGACAATATGCTCCCAAGAAAACACAAAACGCTGCTCTCTTTGTGCGAAAGTCTTGCAAGGTTTCTTGCGTAGGTTCACTAAAATAAGCAGAAGTGCCAAAAAGGAAGCAGAAAATAAAAATTCCAGAAAAATTACAGAACTTTTATCTCCAAATTACCTCTGTGGTGAAAAAAATGCAACAGAAGACTTTATATTCCAAAGAGATCCGCCAGCTCCCCGAGCTGCGAGTGAATGTAAACCCAAGTGAGATCAGGATCCGGCCTAATTTGCTCATGATTATGTTATATTCATAAAAATAATTTGCCGTTTTTTCTGGAACCAACCCCCAAACCGTGCTTTTAATATCTAGAAGTGTGCCGGTGAGCAATCCATTATGATGTCCTCCCCCAATTATTATTTTGGGAGATGACAGGGAGATGACAGGAGACAGCGGCTCCAGGTTGTGAATGAGCAGCAGGAACAGATGGGTTTGCGAGAAGCAGCGATCCCGCTCTCCTGCTAAAGATGCTGCAGACAGAAACCCCCTACTAACATGCCCTGAAAATATAGATCAGTGGAATTGTCCCTAAACAGGGGATTTCACAACAGTTTCCAGGAAGCATCAATATCTATGTAATAAGGAAATGGAGCTGCAGATGCTAAAGTACTTACTGCGGGTTTGTTGTTTTTTTTTTAATACAGGGACAGCTTCAATTATCCCGCTATCATGTACGAAATAAGGTTGATTAATCAAGGTTTAAGATAACAGAAGGAGTTTTCAATGCCATTAATGTGCCTCACGGGATTTGCCCTTCTTTTGGGTAATGGGAAGCTTCTGGTTGCGAAGACGTAGATAATAAGGATTTATAGCGCCATAATGTGCAGTGTTTTTCATAAGGGATGCTACGAAAACATGGGAACTTGACAGCAAATACTATTTCAATTATTTAGTTGCCTACCAGAGTGTGGGGATGGGGCTGTCTCGGGTGCTTCACCCCCACCTCTGCCTTCTGCTTCTTCTCCTTGCCTTTACTTCCCAGCAACGCCAGCGTTTCTGCTTGCAGCTCTGCACCTCCCCTTCTTCTTGTCAAACAAATGTCCTAAAAAAAAAAAAAAAAGAGAAAAGTAATATAATTTGCCCAAATTTCCCAGCAATTACAAAACCAGAAGCGGACTTCATGTGGGTCGGGTCCAGAGTGAAGGGTCTGCTGGTTTGAGTGTCAGAAAGAATAACCTGGGCAATGATGATGTGAATTTTCTCAAAGGCTTTTTCCCGTAGCCCTGCCAGGGCATTTGAATGAAATCTGGGCAGAAAGGGCTGGAATGAAAGCTATGAGGGTTTTTGGAGAAAATGTTAATGAACCACTGGTTGAGCTCTCCACCTCCTTTCTAACCACCCCAAGTCAAGAGAAGTTCCTCCACCTTTCTCCATCTGCCTCCATCTTCTGGGCAGTTTCATGAGCAATTTGCCATCTCGTCCTCTGGCCTCTGCAGCTTCCCTGCTCATTATGATTTTTCTAGTGTTATTTCTCCCTGCTGCAGGAGTTTTCTGCAACCCCAAGCACAGCTGTAAGACCCTGCAGTGGTCCTTAACCCAGGAGGATGCAAGATGTGCTGCTTCCCACCCCTCAGCTCGTGGAAATACGCTTGGCAACGCCGTCCCCGCCGACGTGAGACAAAAATAAACACCAAAACGAAGTGACAACTGGGCTGGAATAAAATATGTGGGCTGAAAAGTGCAAGGATGACTCAAGCTCTGCAGCCAGGTGCTCCCCGGAGTCTGGCGGCGACCGAGGGATGTTTTCCTCTCCCTGGCCGTAATTGCCACGTCCGGGCTGATTTATCGCATTGACATTTTTGACAGGTTATGATGTAAAAAAGGCCACCTCATCATCAGCTGGGGAGGGCGCAGGGCCGGGAGAGCCTGGCTGACCTTTTAATTAAGCGTTGGTCTTTCTCCTGCCTCTTTCCACACGTTCCCCTCCTGCTGCCGCTCTGGAGCATGTGCTGGAGCTCATCCCAGATCCCACAGCCCCCACATCCCTCAGGTTTTCCATTGGGAAAGGGCAGGTTGGGAAGAACCTGAGGTTGACCAACAGTGGGGACAGTCCCTTGTCCCTGAGCTCCCCCAGGCACTGAGCCAGGAGTGCTGTGATCCTGTCAAATGGGAATTTTGCCATTATCCTCGGCGAGAACCAAGCTATTTTTTACGGTATTTATGATGAGAACTTCAGCAGGAGCAGGGTTGGATTGCTGCTGCCGAAACGTGCCGCCCGAATAAATACTGTATGCATCCCAGATGAGGGTTTCTCCTCGCTGTGTGCTCTCATTTCCTTCCTGCAGGAGAAATACTCGTATTTTGCTGCTTTCCCTCATTATGCGTTTGCTACTAGGGCTTTCAAGCCTGAAGGCCTTCACTTTGAATAGAAACGCAGCTTCTGGTGTTTCCTCTGTTTAAGCAAGGAAAGCAGGGTGGCTGGAGAATGCATTGCTTCATCTCTGACCTATTTCTATCCTCAGCACATTTTTCCCCCCCCATCATAGACATGGGAAATTGTCCCAAGCCCCAGGGGCTGTTTTCTGCTTCCAGTTCCCTCAGATGCCCCTTGCAGACCTTCCCTGGGTGGGGGGAGAGTGGCATAGGTCAGCTCTTTCCCCCGTGTTTCTGCCTCTTTAGGATAGGTTTTGCTCCCTGTGAACTGTAAGAAAAATGTCATTTTTCAGGGAAGGTGCTCCATATGTTTTTAACACCAAAAGGGAATCTCAGGAGCGGACACATAAGGCAATTACATGCGTGTTTTCAGTCCTAATTAGACTGAACTCTTTAATTGTGTGATACATTTCTGACCCTTTCTATTTTTATTTTTTTTTTCCATGAAGGAAATAACCCCTCGTTTAGCAGGGCTGAGCTAAAGCCCAAGTGGAAAGGTAAGGCATGGCAGAACAATTAATGGTGATGAAGACGCTGCCTGCCATGGAAGCACTGCTGGTGTCCCACCACCAAAGTGTCCCCACCGCAGCTTGGTCCATGATGCTCCTGGGACTGGAGACCCAGTGGCCAGGACTGGGGGTGTCCCCAACACGTGGGTGATTATGGGACCTCAGCACCAAGGTCTGTGTTCATCTCCATAGTGACCTTCATCAGTGCTAAATGTATAACAAAGGTCCATGGGGATGGATTAAGAGTATTATTACTACTAATATTTACTATTATTACTATTAATATTTATTTACGTGATGGTAATGCCTAGGACAGGCTGAGCCACGCAGTGAAAAGAGGAGATTGATGACAACCAAGCTCTCCAAGTCATTGAGGAGAACCAGACACCAAGTTTGGGAAGATTTGGGACAGCAAATTACGCGGGGTTTGGGTGAAATCTTGTGTGGAGACTTCAAATAGCATTTGTGGCCATCAGGAGCAGGAGCATTTGTGGCTGTTACGGGCGCTCACGGCTTTCACAGGGCTCCAGTTGGGGCAGCTCTGAAATCCACAGCGTGGAGGGCCATAAAATATTTAAAAGAGGGGATTTATAACGTTCTCAGGCAGCTCACCTTCCTGCTCCCCAGCTGGGTGCAGATGGTTTTCACCGCACAACAGCTCGACAAAGGCAGCTCTCAGGACCTAAGCCAGGCCATGCATCGGGGGGGGGGGGTT